CGCATTAGTATGAATAAATATTTTATTAGTACGCACACCGAATAAATATATTTTACTTCTTAAATCGTTTTTCTCGCAATGTATGTATGGATATTTTATGTTATAAATTTAGAGATTCATATTTAAAGACAGAAGAAAAATTCCCAGAATTAGATACGTGTCCGAGCATTGGTACTTTTACCTTAATGAGTTTTTATTTAATCAGGTCGCGCATGGAATATTTAACTGGTCTATATGACCGAAAAAAGGCAATCGATATTCTGCCCAGACGACAAAGAAATCTGCGCATTCTTCCATTTTTGTAATATATGTAGCGTGATCGAAAAGATAAAAAAAGAAGTCGATATCACTATTAGCAATCGTTATTAATAATTCAACTCGTGCCTGACGACGCGCAGTGATTCGAAAAGCGAAAAATGCGAAGGAAAAATAAGATTTCTGATTTTGTTATATATAAATTCTTGAAATATTTATCTTATCATCTCGTTTGCTTTAGAAATTTATTATTAGCTTAGGATTTTGCAGACATGCAGGAATTTATAGGAATAATAATGTCTCAATCAATAATTGTTAGATGTCTCTAAATAAATATATACCAAGTAATTTTCGTTGCATGCAATCTATTGATCAAATCAGTCTTTCTCGAAATTTCAAAAGTCCCATTTACGTAACAATAAGTGATAAAATATCAATATTTTAACAGTTCATGGAAAAATAATATCATAGTTTTTTTTCATATAAATTCTCTTCTGTTTTACTATGATTTTAATAGTGTCTTGCTAAATAAATCTCGCTAGAAATGTAGCAAATTTCTTGATAACACAGTTCTTGAAATGTAAGTGGCGCATACGAGATGCAGGGATAGTCAATTAGACAGAATATCGATCTATTTCTCAAAGTTACGAAGTTCTTTATAGTGATTTTAGCTTGAAAATCTCTCCGTGCAGACACTGATAAACGTTCTTCGTATATTTTCTGTTTCGCGAATGACTGCGCCGCGGGATCATTAATGCCGAATATAACCCGGCTGGAACGAGCGAACGGGGACCCTACCAACGGGCGCGAAATGTCAAGATCGATACGTGCCGGCCACGAGTGCGTAAACGCGCGCATTCGAATGTGGGCTACGAGTGCTCGGAGCGCGCTCGGATCTTTGAAAATCCGCCAGCGGGAAAGAGTTCAAGAGAGGTGGAGGAAGAGCCGCGCCGCGGTTGCATCGCGTCGCGACGCGTTGCGCCGTAACGAAGCGGAGCGGTACACGTGTACCTCGTGAAATAATAATGCGCCCGTCGTTCTTTCCATTCACGTGGCGATACGTACGTGGTGGACGACGCTTGTCGCGCGCCGCTCTATAGTCGGTCGCCGACGACGACGACTCACCACCGTTTTTTCCATTCCACCCTGCACGCACGTTCGGCGCGGTGCGTTGCATCGCGCTGCATCGCGCTACATCGCGCGTCGTCTTTCGAAGGCCGACGGCTTTCCCTTTTTTTCGCGCGCGCGCGCGCGCGCGCCTCCAGTTCTTCTCGGTTCTGAGTGCTACGACGGCGAGATCATCGTCAGCGAGATCATCGTCTCGACTGCGTTCCGATGACGACGTAATTAGCCGCGGCATCTTCTCGTATTTTCGTCGCGGCGCACGCAAGGTAAAACTCATTCATCGTCAAGCTTAGTCACATCGCGAGGAGGTTCCTGCCGATTTTTCGACGCTCTCGTGCATGAAACATTGACGGCCGACTTTTCAATGGTAGCTTCAACGAATGGATTGAAGCTTAAACTCTGGTCTAACGAGGTGTTCGATGTATTCAGGCAGAGTTTAAACTTGAATCGAAGTTTATGCTACTATTGAAAAATCGAACCTGAGGAAGACAGCTCCGGGAAGTAACGTTCCACTCGGCCTAAGATAGTCAAAAGAGAGCGAGAACACGGTGTTTTACACGATTAATTATTAAAGCCTGACCTATAACGGTGCTCTTTGCTTCCTGTTTCTTTATCTTTATCTCCTTCTGACTTGAGGCGATGCTCGACACCGACATAACGCAGTTTCGTAGATTTCTTTTTTCTTCTAATTCAATGCATCAAATTAAAAATGCTTTTGCAGAGTAAAGGTACAAACGTTAATGAATGGTTGATGCCTAAACAATTCTATGAAATCAGTAAAAAAAAATTTATTTACCGATTATTCATTTCATACAACTGTTTAGCATTAGCCATTTATTAACGTTTGTACTTTCACCTTACAAAAGCATTTTCAATTTGATGCGTCCAATTAGAAAAAAAGAAAAAATAACGAAATTGCATTTTATCGGTATCGCTTAAAATTTTTAAGCCTGATCTACAATATGCTCTTTGCTTCCTGTTGTTCTCTGTCTTTTTTTTAAGGTTTAAGGTTTAAGTCAGAAAGAGACAAAAGAAACAGAATGCAAACAGCATATTGTAGACCAGACTTTAGTCAGAACAAGATAAAGAACAAGAAATAGGAAGCAAAGAGAGCTCATTGTAGATCATATTCAACTCCTCGCGTACAATGTTAGTATTCTGTGTGATCCAAACGAACATTTGATCGCTCATTGACTTATGTAAAGGACTGAAGAAAATTTTAAAATAGCACGAATCTGTTTGCAAGTCTTATTTCACTGCTATCTTAGGTGAAGTTTTTCTGTATCTTTGGAGAAAAGTAAAATGTGTCCAAAAATATTGATTCTCCATATGTCCCAAGAAATATGACTGGCGTATGTGAAGGGTTAATTGTCGAGGTATATTTTTAAACACCACGCGAGATTTTTGGTATACAAGAGACGTGTTGGGGTCGCGATCTGCAAGTCACAGAGCTCTGCTTTCCGTGGTATTGATTTTATCGCGCGGCTGATTAAGTTTCGATACACGTGACCATACAGTATGACGTAGGCAGTTTCACCGGTGGCGGAGGGTGGCGAGAGGGAGAGAATGTTTCCGATCCTTGGAATGGGAACGAGGAAAAATGCCATGTGTGTACGGTGACGCGCGCGCGATGTGTGCACGCCGGTAGTCCCTTTGACTTAACCCCCACGAGTCATAGAAAGGGATTAGACGTCCTCTTTCTGAGTACGTATTGATTTTATCGAGCAAATGATTCACTCACGGTACTCGCGAGCCAGCGTGGTGCCGGCGGCGATCGAGTTTCCTTGCATCGCGCGATGACGCGCTGACCAACCCGATTTCCACGGCTAGCATGGGTCGCGGTAACTTTCGGTATTTCGCCGCTGGAATAACCAACGTCACTCGGGAAATTGGAAGTAGCGGAATGCTACAGACACGGGAGCCTCGCACGAATTTCGGTGGAGTGGAATTAATCGTTCCGAGACGTTGTGACGCGATCGAGCGGATCCGGCTAAATTGAATCGAGCGCGACGAGCGAGAAGTAATTCGGAAGATCGCCGATTGCAATCAGTCGCGACGATTGACCTCGAACACGCCGAATTCATCGCGCGACATGATTGTCGTCCTGGGAAAATTCGTCCTGAAAGCTTACCTTGGTGAAAACGCCCCCCAGAGCCGGCGGTCGCTCCGTCGTTCGCTAGTTTGCAGCACTTTTGCTCGAATTTTATCAGATATGTAGGTGTATGTGTGTGTGTAGGTACTTATTAATTATGTATATATATATATATATTTATCAATTATTATTTGTCATTTATTTACTTTTAAATCTCCATATACTTTAATGTTTGATCAAATCCGCGGAAGGCGGACCGAAAAAAGTAATATTAGTATTTAATAGCACTAAAACATCCGTGCTTGCTCCTTATGTGCCTTTAATATCTCACTATTAGTTAAATCTATTCAAGGAGCTTTCTATTATTTCGGCACCGAAAACAGTCAGAGTGCCTGCTTTTCCCCTACATAAACTCTCAGGGCGACGATCGAACTGGGCGCTTTTTCCTTTATTTTTATCCATTTTTTTTATAATATCTATCTTTTCATTTATATGCTGCAAAGAGAGAATTTTATAGGAAAAGTTACTGTAGAATTTTTTAACTGAGGAACAGGTCAGTATTCTGCAGTAATAACTATTCTTTCGTTTCACATATTCTTTCGTTTCGTCATATTTATTCACTGGAAAAATATCTAAAAAATAAAAAATATTTGATCGAACATATTTAAGTAAATCTCTAAATTTTTGTACTTTAATAGAATAAACGATTACTTTCATAAAAAATAACGATTTTAGGAAAATCTACATTTTCTCCTTTGAAGAAAATGTTTCCCCGATGTAAAAATATGTATATTAGCACAAGTAAATATGTTATTAGTATTCATCGAATAAATATTTTTTATTTTCTAGATATGTTTTTCTCTCGGTATGTCTGAGGAAGTAAAATATGCTATAAAAAAAATTTACTGTGTCTCCAGCGAAATTTATTATGTTCCTTCGCGAGAATTGTTTCTCTATAGAATTATAGTTGCAAACATTTTTCTCTCAGTGTGTATTGAAATTTGTACGACACCTTATGAAAATCATTATCATTCACGCAATACCAGCATGAAACATTATTCATGCTTTTTCGATACGCCGCGACTCGTCTCGCGCGTTTTATCTTCTCTCTTCTTGCGGCACGTACTTTTATGTGTTCATCTACTTATCTTATCGGGCTATACATCGGTTCGCATACTACTCCCCCCTCCCCCCCTACTATACCCTGTGCGCTTTATCGGCGAGGAACACGTGGTTCGTGCTACTTTACGTCACTTACGTAGCGCGATCCACTTTTAATATTCGCGCGACTTTTGCGCTCGCCACCTCGAGGTACGATCCGCTCATTTCTCATTGTCGTCTCGATAATATTTTATTATTGCCTTTGCTCAATCACGATAAACCCGCGACTTCCGAACCGCAGAGGACGGTCTCGTGGAAGGAGGCGGGTGGCCGGGAACTTTCATGAACTCGTGCGGCGAGACGCACCGCGACGCGTGCCGTCACGCGTTATTTCGACGCGCGTAATGAAAATGTGCGTACTTTCCAGGATGCAGGAACTGGCATTCCCACGTCGGAAAGGGATCCTCGCCCCGGTGTCGGTGTTGGTGTTGCTGGTACTACCATTGGTCGATTTACCCTCCGCAAACGGTGAGTCACCTTACGAACGCGCCGATTACGTGTGTGCATGTGTGCGTGCGTACGCATATACGCAGAAGCACACGCGCAATCGGTACACATTTTCACGACGTCCTCGATAATACGTGCACAATGAGGGAACGGCAAATAATCACATGTATTCGTTTAACGTCCCTGAACGCCACTTACGAGCCGTCTCAGTCTCTTCATTTTTTCTTCTCTTTTTCTCTTTAAGAGTGCTAGAGTTTAAAAATAAACGTGTCACGACGTTTGCCGTCGCTTTAGAGAGTCTCACGAGCTCTTAGGTTTCGTCTTGTCAACGACGTTGAGAACACCGTGTCGTCGAATATCGTATGACATCGATTTTTATAATGTCGTTACCGCCAAACATCGCCGTTGTGGATTAATATCGACTTCGCTCTTCGTCCGTTGCTCTTTCAATTATACGTTAAAAATAAGTCGCTCATGTAAAATCTGTTTAATCCGTCTGTCTGATCTGTGGAAATAAATTCGTCCTAAGTTTAGCACGGAAATCGCGCGAGAGCAACGACGCGACGATAAAGCCCGCTTTAGCGGCGGCGAGACATCTCGCGGCTGCTCGTGTATTATTCTCGCCTGGATATCTTTATTCTCGAAGGATCATTTCGGCTTTCGAGAGATATTCGCGACGCATTCATCCAGTCTAGTCGCGCGAACGCGACTTAATCAGTGCGAACGCGTGTTTATTTAAGGAGGCTGTGAGACTCACAAGTAAATCTACCCAAAAGATACACTCCGATTTCTTTCTAACTTGGCACAAATGTAGAAGTACAAAAAATATTTAGGTTATATTTTTCATTTTGGCTCACTTTGAGTTTCACGGCTTTAGTTTATAGCTTTTTAATGCTCTCACTCTTATCAACAAGTACAACAAAACTGCATAAGAAATAAAATTAAATACAAAATATAGTTAAATAATTTGAACAAAATCGGCATAGCTGAGACACGAATCATTCTAAATTTTTTTTAGCCGAGATTCCAACCGAAATATTTTAAATCTGTGCTAAATTCGTAAAAAATGGTTCGAATCTCGGTCAAACCGAGAGAGAGAGAGAGAGAGAGAGAGAGAGAGAGAGAGAGAGAGAAATCCGGTAATTTTAATTAAAATTTTAACAAAATCGGCACTGAGATACTAATCATTCTAAATTTTATTAGTCGAGATTCTAACCGAAATATTTTAATATCTGTGCCAAAATAATTAAAAATGGTTCGAATCTTGAACCGAGAAATTATTTGTATAAATTTGTTGCACTTGTTGATGATAGGAATGAGAACATTAAAAAGCTATAAAGTGAAACTCAAAGTGGACCAAAATAAAAAAATATGACCTAAATATTTTTTGTACTTCTACGTTTGTGCCAAATAAAAAAGAAATTGTAGTGTAACTTTTGGGTAGGTTTACTTGTAAGTAAAATTAGCAAAAAATTTTTTATTTACTGGCCGATTATAAAAAAATTTTTTGTCGATTTCATGCAATCGTTTAGCATCAGCCATTCGTTTGTTAAGTATTTTCGCCTTGTAAAGTATTTTCAATTTTATACATCCAATTAGGAGAAAAGAGAAAACTACGAAATTACGTTATATCAAGCGTTGCCTTAAGACTCCTGACCTTACAAGTAACACTTGCAACTGATTAAACAAATTTGCAAGATATTCCGTGCACTCCCCTCTTGCTCTAACCATCAATAATTTGTCGTAAATTAACGTGACATACAATGATCTTCTTAACTTATTTCTATTCAGGTTAATTTACAATAAATTATTGATTGTCAGATGGATATATATTTTTATTTCAACGTATTTCGCAAGAATTTTTAGTATGCATTTTCTTGCTTCTGACGTCATGAAAAAGAGACAGACAATGCGAGAGGTCAGGAGCCTTAAGTAAAAGAAATACCTTCGTATGCAAGAGGGCGTAGGGATGCGTAAGTGTAGGGGCGACATAAATAATTTTTATTTCTTGCTCCGACCTTTACGCCAAACTTACGCCGAGTGTTGTAGACGAGTCTTAAGGAAGCTCATTTTGCCTTACCAACCTCCTTAAACCCGGAGAAAGACATACGGCTCGCGCTGGCCCGTCACGAGGAGGAGCCTCCGAGGAGTTCGGCCCGAGTTGAGTCGTCGTTTCCTCGCGTGTCTCAACACGCGTTTCCGACTCCTCGTTCTCTTTACGCGGCCGCGGCTCGCGCCGTGCGGACGCACTCACGCTCGTTAGCTCGTTAACGAGTCTCCCCCGCTTTCTACGGCTTCGCGCCTCGCCCCGTCCTGCCTTGCCTTAGCTCGTCTCGCCTTGCTTCGCGGCTCTCTCAAAAAGAGCTGTTAACCGTGCGAGACGCGACGCGACGCGACGCACAAAACCCCAGCCGTCGCCACCGCCGCCGTCGCCGTCGAGGCTGTCCTCGCCGACCGCCACTATCTGTCGCCGGTTTCTCGTTCGACGACGAGGAAGAAGAAACGCAGGACGCAGGGGGAAGCAGACGCCACCCTCTTGCGCTGCTTCCCCCTCCCCCTCCTCCCTCACGTGTCGAGATAAATGATGTTTCTTCGACGAAAGATGCGTGTCTAAAACGGTCGACGACTCCTCCTCGCCCTTCTTCCTTTTCGACATGCCCGCGTTCCACGTTGTCGTGCCGCCTTGATGCACGTGCGCACGTCGCTTATGTACTAGGTGTCCCGGAAGCGTAGTTAGATGTCACGGATAGGGGCTGTAACACCCAATTATTGACACCCCCTTAGTCACATTGACGCTCCAGGAAGAGACCTGGTTTTCCACGCGACCAGCATCGCAGTTACACTCCTTGTTTGCTCTTAATGATTTTTTTCTCTTTTAATTTATAGAATTGTCTTTGTATTGGGTTTGCATTTGTAACAGTATTTTCCGTTTACTTTATTGAATAAATAAGTAAATAAAGAATTGCATAACTACGGTTACATTCCGTCCTTTCACCAAAAATTTCACTGAAAACCTATTATTAGTTCGCGTTACATATTTATTATAGATTTTTTTAGTAAAATTTTCCTCAAAAGACGGGATGCCGCCTGAAATTGTGAACAACCGACATTAGTCGCAAGGAAAACCAGACTTTTCTAGAGCGCCGATGACTAAGGGAGATCGATAATTGGATGTTTTTATTCTGAATTGACGATGAATTGGCCGAGCGATCCGGGAGAGTCTGTTTGGCCAACTTTTCCATCGCAAATCGTGGTCATCGCGGCCGCTCGAGGGTGCAAAGTGTCGGCCCCTTTGCACCTTTGACGGGAATCGAAGGGCGATTGCAGATAACGTGGCTGTATGCAGCTCGCGTGAATTCGGTCGAAATTGCTCGTCGTCCGGCTCGCATGAATTCTTTAGAGCTTTAATTACCGAGACGCTTAATGGTTATTGCCGATAATGGCCCGCCGTGGAATTTTCCCCTCAGCGAACGTGGCGACTCCGTTCTCGCCGGCGCGCGCGCATGTGTGCTCTAGTCATTAATATTAAGGTCCGGGGTTTCAGCGGGGAACACCCTGTAGACGCTCTCGCGTGTATCCCATTTCCCTTCGCGCACCCTCCGCCGCCCTCTCCCCCGCCCTCTCTTCTTCTCGGCTATTTCTGACGTTCGCCACCGTTCGCGCCGGCAAACAAGCCAAGCAAGCAAGCAAGTAAGCCAGCGAGCAAGCAACCACCCCGAAATGTGTGTGGGTGTGTGTGTACATGGCTATGCGTTCGATCGAACGCACCGAGAGAACGTCGTCGCCGCCGTCGCCGATAAATACGCACTGTCGAACCGCAACGCGCTCGGACCTCAACCCTATGGCCAAGGGCATTTATCACTTGACCTCTACGCTACGCGACCCGAGACCCATACCTCATGAAGAGCAAGTTCTAAAGACCCGACATGGGTCTCATTTCCTTGAAAGGAATATCAGACACCCCGACGTGAATTTCTCACGGTGGCGTCGGATAAAACACCAAATTATTGACATCTTTTGAGTCATCTCAAGTAGAAACATTTTCAGGAAAAACTGATCACTAGCCATAAACTGGCCAGCATCAAACGGTATCTATTTAAAAACTGGCTTGGAAGATATTGGCCATACTGAAAGAAAAATGTATGATATTTGAAACTATAATGGCATAGTAAAAAGATTATAGTTAGGAATATCATTTTTATAGTAAATATCACCATAATGTTTGTAATATTTACAATATAAGCATAGTATAATTGACTCATAAAATTTTTACCTAGAATTATAATTATTTAAAATAAAAAATATAGTAAGATAGCAAATATTGAATTATAGCAAGTATTTTATATAGTCAATACAATTGGAAATTATATTTGGCAAATCTGTGTTCATTCTGCTATATCTTCATGTTTAGATGAACTATAAATATATGTTTGAAGCCAAAATAAAATATAGTGAGATTATAGTTATTCCATTTTTTTCTCAGTGCAGTAACTAGTAACTAAGAAAATATGGTAATTAAAAATAAAGCATCTCAATAACGAATAAATTTGCACGCGCGAAGAGTCTATATCTTCTGAAACGCATGACAGTTTCACGTTGTTTTTATATTAAATAATAAAATATAATATCTTACAACGTGAAGTCAAACGATGAGAACTATTTGACGGTTTTGTATAAAAAAAAAGTTGGGTCAAATTGATTGAAATTCCTGTCCAATTTCTGACGAGACAAGCGTTCCCTAAACTCGCCGGCAACTAGCCTAGCAGCACACACTGGTTGGCCAACGGTTGACCGCTGTAGATTCTATATTGACCGCCATAGACTCAACATTGGCTCAACGCTTTGTGCTGCTCGGGTAAGCCAGTAACCAAAATTCCTGGCCAGTTACTGGTTAGGAAGAGGTCGCTCTTTCTACTTGGGATCGACGCTCTAGAAGGAAAGCTGGTTCTTCATGCGACCAGCGTTGCAGCTAAACTTCCTGCCTGCCCTCAGTGATTCCAAAAGAGAACTCGCACAACTGAAGCTGTGCGCGAACAATCGCCATTGGTCGCGAGGAAAATCAGACTTTTCTGAAGTGTCAATGATGAAGAGGGATCAATCATTGGGTGTCAATAATTGGGTGTTTTGCCTCACTTGCGCGTTATCTCGCGCGTTACAACGCACACCCGACGGTTGCGCTCGAGTTGCTGTCAGCCGAGAGTTGACCTAGAATCGAGCTGGTCGTCCGCTCTTTGCAAAATACCGTCGTCCATGCAGCCGTCCGATCGAAACGGTCTGCGGAGTTGGACACGATTATTCCAGTTAGACTCCGGCGAGACACTCGGTCGCGAGTGTCGCTCCGCCATTCTATCGCGTTCTCGTCTGAGAACTTTTACGCCGGAGCGTGCTCCCGTCTGGCAACTTTTCGCTGGAGCTCGCTAAATAGCGTCGCTCGCTCGCATGGTGACTAAGATAAACGGCCGACGACAGGATGGGAAACTGACGACGGGTATAATAACGCGTCCGCGAGTCGTTAGCTTCGTTTTTTTTTCGCTTCCAACGCGCACATTCCCTCGGCATTCCGAGCGTGGCTGGGCGCTTCACCACGTCGTGCCACGCAACGCACGCATCGCGTGGCCCTCGTTCCTCCGTCGTTCTGGCTCTCACGCCCTGAGCCTCGTTGCGTCTCGGGCCCGATAGCAATTTTCTAATCGTACGCTCCTCTTAATGAAAGCCCCGACCACGTGGAGCCTCTTAATTCTCCCAATCAAGCGAGCCTTCGCTTTCGAATTCTCCACCTGGCCCGAACAAGAGTAGAGCTCGATTAGTGGAAGGGAAACGATTGCGCCGGAGAAGGATCGCTTTCGGAGAAGACTATGTATCTCACTTATGATTCTCATGTCGCGACGAACCATGAGCTTCACCTAATGCCTATTAAGTGAAGATATTTGCAAAAGAAATCGCCCTTGAATTCATCGAGGGATCTGCAGTTGGACTCGAATACGATTGGCGTACGATACTTTACTGATGTTTCGCGTGTTTGACCCGTTAATTACACAGGCCCACAATTTAAAAAAAGCTGCCTGTGCTGGGGATCGGACTAGGTGTACTGTACGTATTTTGGACTGCTGAATCCAAATCCGGTGTCAGATTTGCTCCATCACCCTTGAGTTTCCCGGAAAATCGAGGAAATCGTGAAAAGGAGCAAATATCCAGGTTTTTACGGAGAGACATGTATTCAAGGAAAATTCTAGAGTAACGAATAACCCTATAACCCCACAACCAACGTTGAAAATACATTATGTACTTCAACATCTGATGACTAGAACAACCCAATAACACAATAATCCATATATCATCATACATATTCGGTTTTAGTTCACCCATCAATTCTTTAACATCGCATAGATTAGAAAATCTAATCTGTGCGTATCATGGTCACATTCATGTTATCGTCCACGAAATGGAATCTTTTTTCTATTCGAAATATCAGTTCTACAATATATGATCGTCGATCAGATAAATCCTGCTTCAGAGGATGTTGGAGACGATGACAACTGCCCCGTAAGGGTGTTGAATGATTCGTTTTCCATGTTGAAGTACATAATGTATTTTCAACGTTGGTTGTGGGGTTATTTGTCACTCTAGAATTTTTCTTGAATACATGTCTCCGTAAAAACCTGGATATCTGCTCCTTTTCACGATTTCCTCGATTTTCCGGGAAACTCAAGGGTGATGGAGCAAATCTGACACCGGATTTGGATTCAGCAGCCCAAAATACGTATAGTACATCTAGTTAGACCCCCAGCACAGACAACTTCTTTTAAATTGTGGGTCTTATTATCATATGATCGTCATAATTGTATAATGGAGATTGCTGTATATTGAAGCGTGTTAACGAAGGACCTCTTTGCATTACAGGATCTTGCGATTTTCCATCGATTTGGGCAGGGGAATGGTACCAGTATGGCAAGTCACTGTTCGTTATAAACACGACCCTCTTTGGGGATAGAACATGCGTCGAATCACAGGAAGACAAATACGTCGTGTAGTGAGTATCGTCCGGATATATGATCTGTACACGGAGAGAATGTATTATAGTTCTCTTTTTTTCATATAAATTCTTTTCAATTTTACTGTGTTCCTAATAGTGCAGCAATAGACTGTAAGTAAAGTGCATCTTACTAAAGAGAGTACGATAATTTTCCTTATAAACTATTCCAGAGTTAACCAGAGTTGATACTCTGATAATTATAAAAATTCACCCTACTTCTAGGGAACTTTTTAGAAAAATTGGATTCTCTTTTAACGATGAAAGTTCCTCTAAATGTGATTTATAAGCCTTCCAATTGATTCATAAGCACACTTAGAGTTACTTTCACCTACAAAAGAGTTCAGAATAAGGGCACTATAACAAGTTTCGCTAGAAACATAGCGAATTGTTCAACGGCGCATTTCAGTTCCTAAGATATAAAAGCACATGCGAAATGAATGGATAGTCAACTGCTGCGGAATCTGTTCCTTGGTCACAAAATTATATGATAATTTTCACTATAAAATTCTGCCCGTGTACGGCGCATCGCGCGCGATTCACGATGTCACTGTGCCAAAAGAGATATCTTTAATTCAATAAAATTGAAGTTCAATATCTTTGAAAGATGAAAGTTAATTCTTATTGTAGATTAAAGGAATGCTAAATCATATTCATATTACTCACCGAATATCAATCTTTCTCTGTATTTTATTTTTTGTATTAGTTTGATAACCGATTTCTTTCAATAGAGTTACGTGGTGGTTAATAAGAGAAATTTGATTTTGTAGTTTCAGCGGTGAGAGCTGTTACCACTGTATGATTATCAACAAACGGCATGATAATGTGATCCAGTATCGCGAAGGTAGGTTTGTCGACTTAGTCACCTAGTAGCACGCTACGATTAGAAATAAGGAGATATAGAGGCAGAGAGCAGGACGAAAACTGATTCGATAACACTTTCTCTTTGCTCTAACCGCTCTGCAGGCTGGTGCAGCCCGGATCGAATGAGTTTGGACGACATGTGCAACATGATGACCTCGGACGACACGCTCTACTCGATATTCCGCATCAACTACAAGCCGATACCCTGCCCGTTCATAGGCGCGTCGTTCACGTTCACGTACAACCGCGGCTACGGCGAGTGCACGATGCCCATCAGTCTCGCGGAGAAGTGCACCGACGAGAGCAAGCTTCTGCTCAAGTATCAAGCCTGCCCGGACGTCGAGGGGACCGAGAGCAACAGTACGTTGCGTTGATCGCGCTGTGAACGCATTGTCCGATTAAACGGCTTAATTCGCCCTACTTAACGCACATTGCCTCTTTATGTTGACGAGTGTCTCATAGAAGACTCTACCGACAGTTGAGATTTATGCCCGTTTCGCGTAACAATGATATTTTTGCCTTTCACACGGTCAAACATTTTCTCATTTGCAGCGGAGGAGTTACAGTGCCTCGCCGTGTGGAACGACGGCCGAAATAAATACTTGGTGGGGACCTTGAAGGGGAGGAACGCCTTGGGCAACAGCAGGACCTACAGGTGAAACGCGCCGTTCCTTAACGTATCGTAATGTATTATTGCCGAGTCCGTGACGGCAGCGCGCTTGTCGCTGTTGCGCGATTTTGTCGCAGCATGCTCGTACACCGTGCGCGCGCCTCAAGCCGCTCACTTATACGTAGCCCGTCGCAGCACCTGCCCCCGCCAGATGTTTATGCATCGCGGCTCTCAGCATGTCGCATTTTGTTATTACGGTGTTTACGGCGTATAATGGGGACTATGAGCGCCGGGTTGGCGAGGTGAAAAGATGGTTAACCGCTCATTTGTCATCTTTCACGTAGCTTATCTATGCGTGGCTTTCGATTGTCCTTTCGCGAGGCGTATATGCAGATATGTACGTAAGCGCGAGCATGAGACGCAAAGGGCAAGATGTGTAGCGCGACCGAACGAGAAAGCCCAGTTTCGCGCACATGATCAAACGACGCTTTTCTATCTCCGACAGGTGTTTTTTATACGAGGAGAAGGCTCATCATCAGGGAAAGATCTATCTGCTCGCCCAGTCCGGCGACCCGACTTGCAACGGCCTAACCACCGTCTCCGAGGGTTCACCCACCATAAAATTCACTAAAGGTAATTGCACGCTAGTGAAAGGGTAAGCGCCGAGTCTAGACCGAGATCGATACGGGCTTCTATTTCGTCCCTTCTTTTGTGTGTCTGTTAACAGTCGACAAAGAACACAAGTGCAAGTACCCGGCCTGGGTGACCCAGCATCACGACTGGCACTCGCTCGACGGCACGAAAGTTTATCACTTCACCAACAAGAACGCCACGCTGAAAATCAAGGCACAATCGCAGGACGCCGACGGGGAGACGCTGCACGAGGAGAAAATCGTCTGTCACAATTTGGAGCAATTGTATCCGAACGACAACATGCAGGGCAACAAAGTGAAGCTGATCGCGCATGTCACCAGCGGCTGGTAAGGATCGTCTCTCGTGGATTCTTTCTGTGGGTTTCGTCGCATTTGTCCGAATCTATTCTTATCTATGATTACAGTGACATCGGATACGTTTGCATGATATTCCACAAAAGGGATAGTCACATTATCGAGATTCAGCAATCAGGTGTGTTTTCGCCTTGACGCCACGTCGGATCGATCGCGCGATTGTATTCTAATTTCACTCTTCGATTGCAGACCAAAAAGCAATTATGCCGGACGAAGCGTGCTCGATCTCGGATCCCTCGACAATGCCGTACACGACCCTAATAAGTAAGTGCCGATCCGTGTCGCGCCGTCGTTCATTAATATTGATAGAAAATCTGCGTTGCCGCTCGCGCGCGCATTCCGCTGTATCGTGGATTAGTGGTGGGCGGACGGTAAAGCGTGTATGCAAATCGTGTGTGTTTTCTGTACCGCAGCCACGTTTCTGCATCAGAGGAAATGTCCTAATCCGGGACGGTACGAGATTCTGGATTTCGCACCGTCTCATGTGCTGTCGGCCGCCGCGCCGAGACGACAGCGGCGCAGCGAGTTGTCCAAGACGACCAAAAGGCGGACTTGGCAGGAAAATATGGAGGATGAAGAGTGTAGGAGCACGCATATTCAAGTGGGCTGCACGTCGTCCGAGCAGACCGAGATGATAATCGCCAACACGTGCGAACATGAGGAGATAGGTAAGCCCGGGTGAATTGATCATCTATCGGGGTTTCGCGAGGATTTCACTACAAAGCTAAGATACCGATGTTACCTCCCGCCAGACTATTACTGCCACGGCAGCTGGGAAGAGAAAGGCACGTGGTACACGGTCGCGTCGCAGAGAAACTCCGAATTCCCGATCGGCCTAGGCGAAACGTACTGTTTCACCATGCGCCAGGAAGGCGTCAGGGACAAAGCTTCGGGGAGAAACGGTAGACTGAAGCAACAGGAGCAAGAACTGTGGTTGTCGAGGCCATCGCATATTTGTCAGAGAGAAGCCAAGGAGGAATGGACGTATAGGTTGTCGAGTCAAGGTGATTAAGTCAAGTAAACGCGATGTTTTCGATGCACTTATCGCACTTAACGACAGCCGCGAAACATGCGAAATGCGTGTACAAGCGCGAGATTTCGCGTACTATGAGTAAAAAGATTTCTTATCATGAGAAATTACTGTTGTGACGGTTTGTTTAATAAGAATTAATTGGATGGCGAGCAACGGTATATCGGGAGATCGCCGAAAAGTTGTGTGCTCAACGCGGTAATTTAATCGTTCAGCGCTGCTACAGCGAGATAATTACGGTTACATCGCCGTAGTCTCCATGATGTATCACGTTACGTCAGCCTCAAACGCGAGCATGCCGGATAAGCGCGATATAAATATTCAGCGTCACGTTTGCATCACGTTACAGGTGTGTGCGAGGACTTAACGAAGGCGGCTTCGAGCGTGGCGTCTACCCCGTCGTCGTCGTTAACTTCGCTTCTGTTTACCTTGTATGCAGCAGCTTACATCGCCGCTAATACGCTCCGCGCATTACTCTCGAGATGATCTGCAGCTATTACGTAAGGGTTACTGTCTCGAGGTATACTGTAATTTCCAGCACGGATTCTCAGGTATTGCGTGTTACTGGAAGTGCGTGTGTGTTGTATATATATATGTAGCTCACAGTTTGATAGCTATCGATCGACCACGAGCTGTCGATACGTAAGAAACGCGACGTGAGAACCACGCGCAGCTTAACATCCATTATCGACAATATCATTTCCGTTCTATTGACGCAGCAAGCCTAATTACGCTAAAACTACGATCGCCGTTACTCCCGACTGTGGAGACGCGAGAGGGAAGGAAAGAGAGAGAGAGAGAGAGAGAGAGAGAGAGAACAAAGAGAGAGCCGTACACTGTTTCCTCGAGTGTTGTACGATTATTTTTTACGATATATTACTTTTGTGCAACTCGCGAAATCGCGTTACGCGTCAGAGACTCTAGGCGCGCTCTAGATTCCGGCGTTTCTTTCCGGCGTAACGCGCATCACGTACAAGCTAATTTTACTGCCAGATTCGTTGATTGATCAGAACGACGGCTTACTACACTGGTGGGTTTGCGCGGATAATTTACGATCGCTCGCGTGCTTTCCGTTCGATCTCGTGCGAGAAAAGGAGAGCGGCGATATTCAGGGCTGGGACCAAGAATCTTGAATGGAAGGTACACAATGGAAGGTCTCCCTGCGGGAGACTCTGTGCGAAATGCGACTCTGAAATATCGAGACGCATCCTCGCAGGATGCTCGGGCGTGACGATGCGATAGATAAGTGGCGCGAACGAGCTCTCACGTTTAGAAACTCGGAGCGTACACTCGGAGAGACGTCATCCCAGCTCTGATATATCATCGAGCGGATAACGAAAGTGTGTAATTTAACGCGACAGAGCCTCGTATCACGACCACTTCGGAGTACTCGAAGACTCACGTGTATATTCTTACTAAGTAATCGCGCTAACTGTAAATACGACCAGGGTATAAGTAATCGAGATTTCAATTGGTTATTTTCGAGCGAGGCGCGGGACACGATTATTATGTAATTACAGTCCGGCCGCGGCGGCACAGGTTGAACAGAGGTGTACTTGGATTTTATGTAACGGCAAGGGACATAGGTTTTATCCTTTAGCTAATATGCGACAGTTGTACATAATATATAATTGAGATATTGTATAAAGACTGTTTCTAAAAGAGTAACAAGTATATACCGCTCACACGATTGCATTTCGTCGTCGGAGGAAGTGCGTGCATTTTCGAAGACATTCTCGAGATCGGCCTCGCAATCGAAGGTCCGCGCCGGGCGCGACGGCACTCGTGTCGCAAAGTTCGCAAGTTCTTCGCGAGTTTAGCGAGCGCTTGGAAGTCAAAAGTGGATCGCGAATCGGCTGTGCACGAATGTGAAATTCACACGACGGGCGAATCGATGTGGAAATTGATCAAGAGCTCGTAGATTTCCACCGAAACGCCCCCCGCGAAGTAATCTTGTTAGCATCTTCCATTTTTGCAAGTGGTTTGCAAATCTACTTGGCTACACTAGAGAGACCCGAACGTTAGATACTTTTAGATCCTAAAATTGCAGTCACGCGGTGCAGCTTCTCGAAATTTGGAGGTAAAGAATCTCATCGCTCTCTGTTCAACCAGTCGAGAACTTGCGAACTTTGTCGTGACGTGACTCACGACGTAGCCGGCCAAATGAAGTGGCGCACCCGCGGACCTCTCAGGACGCGTATTCGTCGCGTGCAAACATAGTGCTTTTGCATCTCTAACATAGAGTTAGTGGATGTCGGAAACAGATCGATCACGCATCTCGCTATCTCCCGTTCGTCATCGACGATACGACTTCAAGACACGTGTCTCGGGCCCGTATTATTAGCTTTTGCTTGAAACTCGTCTCAAGTGAGACACTTAAGCTCGTATTAATAGTTGTTATTTGAAACTTGTTTTACGTAAAAAATACTCAGATCTAAGTCTCTACTAAATCTAGCATTCAAACTTAAGTCTGGTTCTAAATGAAAATCGTCTTACCTGAAGCAAGTTTCAAGTAACGACTATTAGGGCCTTCACACACAAATTGCCGCAACCGTAACGTAAGACATGCCGTAAGAATTGACCAATTACGATCGAGTATTCATCAAAATGGTGACCTTACGGTTTGACGATTCTCAGGGTGAAGTCCCATGGAACGTATTTTCGCGTAACGCGTAACTGCGTAACCAGTCACATTTTTCTATTCTTTTAGAAGTTTCAATAGAAATACTAAACGTCGAAATCTATTGGTCACGCGTTTACGCGATACGCGGAAAATACATGCCATGGAACTCCAGCCTCAATGTGATTGGTCAATTCTTACGGTACGTCTTGCGTTACGGTTACGGCAATTTGTGTGTGAAGGCTTTTAACACGACAAATAACCTTAGACTCGAGTCCAGAATTTTATGAAAGAGAATCCTGTTGAATCGCAAGATTCAACGGAATGCAGATACCAAAATGTCACGTATATCATATTGTAATTGAACGGAAAAACTTTGATCTGAATAAGAATCTCTAAATAAGAATCTGAGTGCCTCACAAGTGGCTGAGACAAGTTTCATCGAGTAACAACTGTTAATACAGGCCTCGGATTCGGACGCGCGGTTGCTTCGATTCCCGGTCGTCGACGCGTCCCGAATTGTGCACGATGCTTGTGGCGGGTTCGTGTATCGCGATGAGGAATTTCTTCAGGGCACCGAACAGTCCTTCTTTCCCGCAGCTTAATCTACGAGAAGATCGCTCGCGCGACTGCATACGGTGTACGTGCGTAATTAACGACGGTTGGGAAGTGTAGCTTGCACGCGATTTCCTTGCTACTGCATTCTCACGAATTGATATCGAACGCATTTTCAACCAACCCCATCCGAGGGGTTTGGTGAAGCATCATACCGCGTATCATAATCCGATGACTTCGAGTAATATCGTTTCCGTTTTCCTCATATCTTCGCGCGTTCCCTGCGGCTTAGTATGGTACAACTCTTCTGCGAGAGAGTTTAAACGCATCTTTCCTGATGAAATTAGCAGCGCATCAAGTAGTCACGATTGTGAGCCGCTATTCATGAGTCAGCGTGGTAATCTGTCATGACCTAACTCTGGGTATTCTTATTATTTCCGTCTTTAAATGCGACTATTTAAAACTTTAGCATGAAAAAATATATGTAGCTATTCTATACTTTGCATTATTATTTATTGCATTATGGCTCTCGTCCAAACCGATTACTATGCGAGCCAGTGACTCGTAACTGTAATCATCTGACGCGCTTTAAACTTTATGGTAACAGAATGTGTTTAGACCGCCTCGCAAACGAGTGTAGTCGACTTGTGCGAATATTTGATCGCGTGGTCGTTCTTCGACTGTCCAAAACGTGGAATTTGTACAGATTCGAGTATCACAAGCAGAGATAATAGCATAGTAAACCCATGCGATATCGCTGTGACGGGAGAGAGAAGTCGAGAATGCGGTCCAACACGAAGAAGTGAGAGAGAGAGAGAGAGAGAGAGAGAGAGAGAGAGAGAGAGAGAGAGAGAGAGAGAGAGAGA